AGACAGTACAGGTGAATCCCTCAGCACAGTAAATGGGCTGGGAGGAAATGCCCAGTAAACACTCCTGCTGTTAATAATCTGCCCAGGGCTGGGCACGGTGGCCCACATCTGTAATTTCAGCACGTTGAGAGGCCGAGGCGGGTGGGTAATTTGAGGCCAAGAGTTCAAAGCCAGCCTGGCCAACATGATGAAACCCCATCTGTACTAAAAACACAAAAATTAGCTGGGCGTAATGGTGGGCACCTGTAATCCCAGCTACTCAGGAGGCTGAAGCAGGAGAATTGCTTGATCTCGGGAGGCAGAGGTTGTAGTGAGCAGAGATCACGCCACTGCACTCCAGCTTGGAGCTGGAGCAAGACTCTGTCTCAAAAAAAAAAAAAAAAAAAAAAATTCTGCCCAGCACAATTGGTGGTCAAAACTTTGGGAGCTCAGCCATGGATGGTGGCTCACACCTATAGTGCCAGCACTTTGGGACGCCAAAACAGTAGGATCATTTGAAGCCAGGAGTTCAAAACCAACCTGGGCGACAAAGCAAGATCCCGTCTGTACAAAAAAAAATTGTTTTAACTAACTGGCCATGGTGGTGTGCACTTGTAGTTTCAGCTATTTGGGTGACTGAGGCAGGAAGCTCACTTGAGCCCAGGAGTTTGAGGCTACAGGGAGCTGAGATTATGCTCCTGCAGCTCAATTCAGCCTGGGCAGCTAAGCAAGGTTTATCTTATCTCTAAAAATAAACCAAAGAACAAAAAAGCTTTGGGAACTCAAGAGAGAGTAAAGAAGCCATTTCTTTTCTTTTTCTTTTTTTTTTTTTTTTTGAGAAGAAGTCGCGCTCTGTCACCCAGGCTGGAGTGCATGGCATGATCTCGGCTTGATGCAACCACCACCCCTGCCTCCCAGGTTCAAGCAATTCTCCCACCTCAGCTTCCCAAGTGCCTGGGATTACAGGCGGGGGCTACCATGCCCAGCTAATTTTTAGGTATTTAGTAGAGACGGAGTTTTGCCATGTTGGACAGTCTGGTCTCGAACTCCTGGCCTCAAGTGATCCACCCATCTTGGTCTCCCAAAGAGCTGGGATTACAGGCGTGGGCCACCGCATCTGGCCCTGAGATTCTTCTTTTCAACCAACTCTATGTGATGCTAGGCTGCTGGCCTGGTGTCAGTGATACAGCAGTATAGGATACTTAGTATGATCCCATTTCTGTAAAAACAAAATGGAACAAAATTAATATGTATATATATGAAAAACAAAGCCAGATAATAAAACCTAAGCTATAGTGGTTATCTCTAGGTGAGAGGATGACCAGAAGTTTTTAAATACTTGTGTAAAGTCTAGTTTTACAATAACTTTCAATATTGCAATTATGGGGAAAAAAGTAAAAATAATAAAAGCTGGCTGGGCATGCTGGTTCACAGCTATAATCCCAGCATTTTGGGAGGCCGAGGTGGGCAGATCATGAGGTCAGGAGTTTGAGAACAGCCTGGCCAAGATGGTGAAACCCCGTCTCTACTAAAAATCAAAAATTAGCTGGGCACGGTGGCGAGCGCCTGTAATCCCAGTTACTCAGGAGGTTGAGGCAGGAAAATTCCTTGAACCAGAGAGGGAGAGATTGCAGTGAGCTGAGATCACACCACTGCACTCTAGCCTGAGTGACAGAGCAAGACTCCATCTCAAAAAGAAAGAAAGAAAGAAATACAAAAAATCAGCCGGGTGTGGTGGCACACGACTGTAGTCCCAGCTACTTGGGAGGCTGAGGCAGGAGAACCACTTGAACCCGGGAGGCGGAGGTTGCAGTGAGCTGAGATCGCGACACTGCACTCCAGCCTGGGAGACAGAGTGAGACTACATCTCAAATAAATAAAAAAATAAATAAATAAATTTTTAAAAAGGCTGGGTGCAGTGGCTCATGCCTGTAATCCCAACACTTTGGGAGGCTGAGGCAGGCAGATCACAAGGTCAAGAGATCGAGACCATCCCAGCCAACATGGTGAAACCCCATCTCTACTAAAAATACAAAAATTGGCAGGGCATGGTGGCTCACACCTGTAATCCCAGCACTTTCGGAGGCAGAGGCGGGCAAATCATGAGGTTAGGAGATCGAGCCCATCCTTGCTAACCCAGTGAAACCCTATCTCTACTAAAAATACAAAAAAAAAAAAAAAATAGCCAGGTGTGATGGCACGTGCCTGTAGTCCCAACTACTTGGGAGGCTGAGGCAGGAGAATCGCTTGAACCCGGGAGATGGAGGTTGCAGTGAGCCAAGATCGCACCACTGCACTTCAGCCTGGGCAACAGAGCGAGATTCCATCTCAAAAAACAAACAAACAAAAAATACAAAAATTAGCTAGACGTGGTGGTGGCACATGCCTGTAGTCCCAGCTACTCGGGAGGCTGAGGCAGGAGAATCGCTTGAACCCAGGAGGCAGAGGTTGCAGTGAGCTGAGGTCGCGCCACTGCACTCCAGCCTGGTGGCAGAGTGAGGCTCTGTCTCAAAAATAAAATAAATAAATAAATAAATAAATAATATTAAAAGCTCGCCATGATGCCCTCTAGGCGGACATCTATAAACTGCACCCCCTCCTGGTGCCACTCATCCAGGCTCCCATCTCTGCCTTCTTTTGTCCTCAGAGCATAATAACAGGTTGGCATGGAACAGCTGCCAGGATGCAAGTCGTGTGGCACTGATGCTCCAGCTGTCTGGTGAGCTGTCATCATTGGCATCTTCACAGCTGCAGCTTAATAAGGGTCCCCTGGCCGGGTGCGGTGGCTCAAGCCTGTAATCCCAGTACTTTGGGAGGCCGAGATGGGCGGATCACGAGGTCTGGAGTTCGAGACCATCCTGGCTAACACAGTGAAACCCCGTCTCTACTAAAAAATACAAAAAACTAGCCGGGCGAGGTGGTGGGCGCCTGTAGTCCCGGCTACTCGGGAGGCTGAGGCAGGAGAATGCCGTAAAAACCCGGGAGGCGGAGCTTGCAATGAGCTGAGATCCGGCCTCTGCACTCCAGCCTGGGCGACACAGCGAGACTCCGTCTCAAAAAAAAAAAAAAAAAAAAAATAAGGGTCCCCTGAGCACCAGGCCTGGGCTGTGCCCTACACAGGCATTTGATCTATTATTATCCCCATTATCCAGATTAGTTAACTGAGGTTCAGAGACGTGGAGGGACCTGGGTCATGCAGCTTGTTTAAGGCCCAGATTAGGCTCCTAATCCACTCCCTTGTGCTACTAGGGAGAGGGCCTGCTTGTTCCCCATGCCTGCCTCGAAGATTCCTCCCCACAAGGGTCACTCTCTGATCACCATTTTAACAATAGCAACACCACCCTACCCCGCCCCTGCTTTCTGGCTCTGCAGGGCACATCATCTAACAGGGCCATCGGTATTGCCCTATTTCCATATTGTCTGTCTTTTTCCACTGAATTGTCAGCCACATGTGGGTAAGAACTTTGTCCATTTTGCTCACTGCTTTATCTCTGGAGTCTAGCATAGTACCTGGCTCAACAAATACGCATTAAATGGATGAGTAAGTGAACAGTCTTCAATTCACAGACCACTTTGTCAGCAGTGCCCCCACACTGTTCACAGCACAGGGAAATGACTCACTGACTCCCCATAAGCACAGTGTAGGCTAGCCTTCCCTTCCTAGCCTCCGCCATGAATACTAATTAGGTTTCTTAAATGCAGAGGTGGATGGCTGGGCTCAGGGCCCCATGGTCTCTCCCTGTGAAAGGGTAAGCAGGGCAGGATTGTAGGAGGCTTGGATTTGAATCCCACTGCTTTTTTTTTTTTTTTTTTTTTTTGTGAGACGGAGTCTCGCTCTGTCGCCCAGGCTGGAGTGCAGTGGCGCGATCTCGGCTCACTGCAAGCTCCGCCTCCCGGGTTCATGCCATTCTCCTGCCTCAGCCTCCTGAGTAGCTGGGAACACAGACGTCCGCCACCACGCCCAGCTAATTTTTTGTATTTTTAGTAGAGATGGGGTTTCGCCGTGTTAGCCAGGTGATCTCCCGACCTCGTGATCTGCCCGCCTCGGCCTCCCAAAGTGCTGGGATTACAGGGGTGAGCCACCTCGCCCGGCCGAATCCCACCGTTTTATGCTGTTTTACCACCATCCTAATGGGCTGGAGCAAAGACTTCCAACTCTAGGGCAAGAGCTTCCAATTCTCCCAAGAAGGGCCTTTCAGGCATCAGGGCCTCTGCACTTGCTGGTCATTCAGCCTGGCATGCTCTTCCCCCGATCTGCTTGCTGCTGGCTCCTTGTCATCGTTCTGGTCTCTTCTTAAATGTCACTTCTGCAGAGAAGTCCCCCGACTCCTCCCAAGTCAATGTGAACTTTCCACACCCACAATGATACCTTTTTTCACACTGTTTATTTCCTCCATCCCTGTTACTATAAACTATTTTCATTTTTACTGTTTTGTGTATCTGCTTATCCATTTAGTGTCGATCTCACCAGCTTGATGCAAGATCTATGAGGGCAGAGGCCTTGGCTGTCTTATTCGTTGCTCAATCTTCCGTGCCTAGGACAGGGCCTGGCTTCTAGCAGGTACCTAGTAAATATTTGTTGAATTCATGCTCCAACTTTCTCCTTCTAGAAACAAGGAAACTGAGGACCAAAGGCAGAAAGGGACATGTTGGAGATCAGAGTCAGGATCTAGGGGTCGAAGGCAGCGAGGTGAAGGGGAACTCCAGGTCAGGAAGCTGTGACCTCAGAGGAAGCCCATCTACTCTCCAGGCCTCAGTTTCCTCATCGGTAAGATAGAGTGAAACATCCATGACCACTATCCAAGAGGCCTGGTACTAGGAGTGAGACCCCACCCATTGACAAATATATTCTGCGCAGCATCCGTCCGCGCACCCTAGACACTGCTAAAGCACCCCGAAAGCCGCAGAAGGTTAAAACTACGACACCCATGGTGCCCCGGGCGGCGCCTGCGCACGGCGGCCGGCCCGCAGCGTCGCGGGCTCCCCCTAGCGGCTTCCCGGAGCGGTGCTCGCTCCGATCCCCGAGGGGCGGGGGCCGCGCGGCTCAGGCAGTCGGGGCGCGAGGCTGCAGCGGCGGAGCCGGAGTCGGAGCCGGGAGCGCGAGCGGCAGCCGGATCGCAGCCTGCGGGGCCCGCCGCAGCCATGGGCAACCGCGGCATGGAAGATCTCATCCCCCTGGTCAACCGGCTGCAAGACGCCTTCTCTGCCATCGGCCAGAACGCGGACCTCGACCTGCCGCAGATCGCCGTGGTGGGCGGCCAGAGCGCCGGCAAGAGCTCGGTGCTCGAGAATTTCGTAGGCAGGTAGGCGCGGCGCGCCCCCAGGCGCCGACCCCCGACCCCCAGGATCCCCGGAGTCCCTGCCCGGGGCACCGACGGCGCGGCGACCTCGCAGCCCCCGACGCTGCACCCGCGGCCGGCGCGCCCCCCACCCCCAGCCGGAGCGAGGCGGCCCTCCCCACCTCGAGAGCCCCTCCGTGCAGCAGCGCCGCCCGCTAGTCTGCAAACGTCGTCAAGCCTCCGGCTGCCGAATCACGCCCCCTCCTCCGTCCCATCCTTTAGGGCAGACAACCCTCTGACAGAAGCCCTGGCCAAAGGGCTGCCCCCCGCCCCCAACATGGGCATGGAGAGAGCCCGCATTACTCAGCGCCTCCGTTGGGCTCCGGGAGTCCCTTGGAGCGGGCAGCACCCGGGGGCAGCGGCCCCCCCACCGGACTCTATGGGGGACATCCTCCTACCCCCATGGGAATTCCTGGGCCGTGGCAGGGGTCAGACCCCCACCCCAGTCCCTAAAAGAGGACGTAGTCCCGTGGGCATCGAGGACCCGGTACGGCCTCCCCCCGGCACACACACACCTCTGCGGCTCCCGCCGCCATCCGTGCGCAGCGCGGCGGAGAGGGGGAGGCGCGGGCTGCAGGATGAGGAAGGGAAGAGGGGAGGAGAAACCACTTCTTATCCTTCTCTGAGCAGCCGGCCCCTTGCTTCGCCACGGCCCCTGGGTGGGGGGCGCCTCTCAGTGTCGCCGTCCCCTTGGCCTGGCCAGAGGGATCGTGATGGAGGGAGAGGCGGCAGAGGGCAGAGATGACTAAGACCGGGATGGCGGGAGGGGGGAGCCATTTGCAGAACCTAATCCCCCTCCCGCCTCTGATCCCACAAGGCGCTGGGAGGCCTAGGTGGCGGAGAGGGGAGCAACCACAAAGACAAAGGGTCCTGGGTTTACGGGGGCAGGGAGGGTCGTGACCCCCAGGCTCTCCCCAAACCCCCAGGGGGAGGAAGAAACAGTTTTTCTGGTGCTGAGGACAGAGAGGAAAGATAGGAGCTCTCCAGGTACTGGAGGTGAGATGGGGGGCTGGGCAGACTGGGAGACGAAGTGAGAGAGTTTACACTGACCCCCTCTTTCATCTCCCCCCCATCTTCTTCAGAAACCCTTGCTTTCTTCCAATGACCTTCAGGGCCAAAAAAGTGACTGGCACATGGGAGAGGGAGGCAGGGGTCCTTCTCCGCAGAGGGACAGCAATTCTGTCCAAGCCAGGTTCTGCTGCAAAACCTCAGGCAAGTCACTTGCCCTCTCTGAGCCTTAGTGTCCCCATCTCTAACATGGACAGTGGGACTAGATGGTTGTTCCTGCCCCTCAAATGTCCTGGGAAACCCATGCCAGCCCTAGAGGTGAGAGGGAGAGGGCCTGACTGGAGCCACGTATGTGTGGGATGTTGGAATGCCACCGTGGAGGCGGCCGTGCCCATCTGGTCAGCAGAGGGGGAGGCATCTGTCTCTCCGATGGCTCCTGCAGAACCCCCCTTCTGATCACATGACCCCCAGAGCTGCAGAGACCCAGGCAAGAGACACACAATGAGCCCCTTCCCCAAGGGCCGGCAGTCAGGGACAGCCAACAGTTTAGAGTGGAGAAACCATATTCCTACCTCTCCTCCTTTGAATGTTGGCTGAATTCCTGCCCCACGCCAGGCTGCGTGCTCCAGGCTTGGGGTAGGGAGGGAACCAACTGGTGATTTCAGCCCCCGTCTACTGAGTCCATCCTATGTACCCCCTATGCTGAATCAGTCATAGGCTCACAGGAGCTCCCAAGAGGCAGGCACCATGATGCCCATCCTACAGATGAGGAAACTGAGACCCTGGAGGTTAAATGCCTTGCCCAAGGTCACACATTCAGGAAGGGCAGCAGCTGTTAGACTCCAAAGCCCAGTTCCTAATCTCGACGCTGCACATCCTCTGAGAGCCGGATCCTGCACCAGACACAGGGACGAGCGGGTGGGTGGGCCTCCATTTCCCCATCTGTGGAATGGGAACGCTGACAGCCACTGCCCTGCCTTCCTGAGAAGGTGACTGTGGGCTCCACTGAGTTCATGGGTGGAAAGGTTCTTTTGTAAATATGCGGGACAGGGCGTTGATAGCCAATTAGGCTTGGGGACCTGCATGTCCAGCCCCTGCCCTCCTGGAGCCCATGATGCAGGGGCCAGCCCTGACCACGGCAGATTTCAGCAAGTACTTGCTGGCTGAGTGGCAGAGCAGGGTGTGGACTGTACCCCAGGAGGCCTGGGCCCTCTGGCTGCCCTCTGCACCCCAATGCCCTTGGCCAGGTCCCCACAGGAGGATGTGCAGGGTGTCCAGATGCAGGCTCAGGGCAGGGGAGGGGGCTTAGGTTGATGTGAAGGAGTAGGCAGGAAAGCATTCATGATCCCCTGAAAGCTAGTGAGAAGGCCAGGGAAACTGAAGCTCAGTGGGTTCCACCATCTCAGCCTGACAGCTCCTTCAAGGGCTCCTGACCTCTCCAACAGGGCTCAGTCCCCAGCCTGGTGAGCATAGTAACAGCCATTCTGTCTCCTGGGGCTTCCCAGGAGCCAATCCCCCACGGAAAATGCTTCAAAGGAAAATGCATCAGGGCTGTCCCAGGTCCACCTGGGCTTCTGGGCGCTCAGAAGGATCTTGCTGTCAGCTCTGCAATGGAGGTAGCGTTGCAGCTGCCCGGGATGCTGCTAGAACTTGTCTAGGTCTATACTGTTTCTTCACCCCCTTCCCTTTTACAGAAGGGAAAACTGAGGCTAATTCATTCAGTCATTTAGTAAACATTTGTGGAGGGTGCACGATGTCTTGGCACTATGGTGGAAAAGACCAAGGCTCTGCATTGCAGAGGGAGAAACTTAGAAGACAACTGGAAAATGTGGTCAACGTCAGGGAGGGGAGCGGGGCTGCTCTCCCAAGGGAGGTCAGAAGTCTCCGGGAGGAGGAGGCATCTGAGATGAGAACCGAGGGATGAGAAGCTGTGTAACTTGCCGGGGTGGGAGAGTTCCAGGCCGAGGGAAAGGTGCAAAGGCCCTGGGGTAGCAAAGAATTTGGTGCCTTTGAGGAACAGAAAGGACCCCCTGTAGCTGGTGTTTGGCTAGCAAGGGGGAGACAGGACCTGAGAGACAGGCAGGGGCTAGATCTACAAAGCCCTTAGGCCACGAGGAGTGAGGAGTTTGGGTTTATTTTCTCTCTTGTGGGAAGCTTTTTAGTAGTGGATTGACTTGAGCTGATTCTAGCAAGGGTGTGACTTGGGGAGGGGGTGAGGGAAAAGGCAGGAGACTGGTGCGGAGGCTGCTGCAGTGGGCAGAGGGCAGTGGAGGTCCCGAACGAGGGCTTTAGCTGCAACGAGAAGGAGAACGGTGGGTAGGTTTCAGGATATATTTTGGAGGAAGTCCTGCTGGAGGATGAATGTGGAGGGTGAGGAAGGAGGAATCAATGATGACATCTGGGATTTTGACCTGAGCTCCTGGGTGGGTGTTGGTGCCATTAACAGAGTCGGGAAGAGTAAGGAGGAGCAGACTGGGGGGACGGGGGAAGACCAGGGTTTGGTTCTGAACATATTGAGCCTGAGATGCCTGTTAGACTTCTGAGGGGAAGATGTCAACTGGCAGTTTGGTGATGCAAGTCGGGAGCTCAGGGGGAAGGCGGGCTGGAAATAAAAATTTGGAAGTCGTTGGTGTAGAGATGGGATTTAAACCCGAGAGTAGATGAGCTCATCCTGGGGGTAAGTGTAGACGGGGGAGTGTTTGTGGACCCAGCACCCGCCAGCCTTTCATGAACAGATGCCTGGTGCCCTAGGCCAAAGGGGCCTCCTTGCTGTCCCTCCAGCTCCTCTTTATCACCCCCGCCCCGCTACACCCCCCACCCCAATGCTCCTGTAGGGCCAAGAGTGGGTTGTCCCTGGACAGGCCAAGTCCGGTGGGAATGTGGCAGAGGAGCCGAGAGCATGCTGTGAAGTCAGACCTGCTGAGTTTGAAGCTCAACTCTGCCACTTACAAGCAGAGAATCCCTGGCCATGTTCCCCAAACCCTGCCCAGTTGCTATTTCCTCATCTGTAAAATGGGGATAATAATAGCACAGCCCTTGTGAGATTATGGTGAGTGTTGAGACAATCCCCAGGAAGCACTCGGGGGAGGGCCTCGCATGGAGGACGCGCTGCTTCTATCCCTGCCTGAGCATAGGCAGGCAAGCCCCCTGGTATGGTGCGGGCTGGGAGGTGCACCAGGATGGGGGCACGGGTTGGGGATCTTCTCCATCCAGGGTAGGTTAGGGGTCCTGATGAGCGACCCTCTGCCCAGAGCCCAAGGAGCAGCCCAGGGGGAAGGGTTTTAGGTTTCCCCATGGCTCTGCCTACCCTCCCCCCTACCCCCAGGCTTCCTGTCTGCCCCAATGCCCTTGTCCCTTCCTCCACATTCTTTTTTTTTTTCCTTTTTTTTTTTTGAGACAGAGTCTCGCTCTGTCACCCAGACTTGGAATGCAATGGTGCGATCTCAGCTCACTGCAACCTCCACCTCCCAAGTTCAAGTGATTCTCCTGTCCTAGCCTCCTGAGTAGCTGGGATTACAGGCGTGCACCACCACACCCAGCTAATTTTTGTATTTTAATAGAGATGAAGTTTCATCATGTTGTCCAGGCTGGTCTCAACTCCTGACCTCCAGCGATCCACACACCTCAGCCTCCCAAAGTGCTGGAATTACAGGCGAGAGCCATGGCACTCAGCTCCTTCCTCTGCATTCTATCCCAGCATGGACATGGTGCTGGTCTCTGGCCTCTGAGAGCCCCTTTCTTTGTCAAACGTAGCCTTTCCCGGGGAGACAGCCCACTCCCCATGATTAAGCTCTGTCTCTTCCTCTGAACACACTGGGATGCATCATAGCGGTCCCATTTCTTAGATTTGGAGATGGAGGCCAAAGACTATTAGGGGATAAATGAGACATCCTAGGCAGAGTGTGGATAACCTGGAGGGGGCAGAGGGAACTGACATTTCCTTGGCACTTGCCGTG